AAATCCTGCATCACCCGACGGCCTCTCCAACATTGACATCGGGGTGAGGAGGGGAGAGACAGAGCTTTCCGCTAACATGGCCATGAGACAGGTCATGCAGGATTTTTACCATCCACCGTAGTAGTAGTAGTAGTAGTAGTAGTAGTAGTAGTAGTAGTAGTAGAACTAGTAGTAGGAGTAGGAGTAGTAGATAGTAGTAGTAGTGGAAAAGCGTGGATGGTAGTGCTGGTGCTGGTGCTGGCATTGGCGTTGGTGGTGGCAGTGGTGTTATCGGGTGATAAAAGACGCAGTAGTTGAGTAGGATTAGTAGCACTATCAAAATCATCGTTATTGTCATTAACAGAAGCGGCAGGGCAGTAGCAGCAGCAGTAATCGCAGCACTTGCGAGCTGGATAAGAATCAGACCAAACTGAAATTCCACCACCTGTTTCAGGCTTTGCCAAGCTCACGCACGCTTCCCTCCCTGCCTGATTCGACCATTAACAACTTTGGACAGCATGACAACACAAAGCCATGGAAGCATTTAATCAATGTTCATACAGAAGTAGTAGCTCAAGTTCGTCTGAGATTTTCCGAGGGACTCCGCCAGATACTCATCTGCGCCATAGTATATGGACAGCTTGGAGTGGCCAAGGCCTCGGAACAGGTTGATGTCTCTTCTCACGCTTATGTTTTGCTCATTCCCTTGAAGTCTCACGACTGCACAATGTCTGACCTAACAGCATCTCTTTCGGTTCCAAGCCTTTCTTGCCAAGAAGAGGATCGCTGGCCATTGTGCCCGTCGCCGAACAGAACAAGCAACACCGCTAACGAGCCACAAACAGCTTCAACACGCTACGCGCATGCTTCACAATCGCATACTTTGCACTCCCTTCGGCCCCCTCTACTGGCTGCTACCCGGCAGAGGCAGGTCTACGCATAGGATGATATCAGCCTAAGCCCATACTTCAGTTCTGGTATGATTATTTTGTGTTTCTCAACTTATCTACCGTGATTATCTACCTAACCTCTTTGTTTCCGGGAGTTTAACCATTGTTGGATGTGCTTGCCCGCATCGGCGTAGTTTCCCTTTTTAAGCTAGACTTGGTCTGAAGCCAGCAACTACCTCGGCTACTATGGAAGTCTGGTTCATACCATGTAAACCACGCCCCTGGTTTAAGGCACAAACCGCGGAGCACAAGAAGTTCCTGAGCAAGTGCAAGACTGTATCAGCTCATATCGCTGTTATCCCTGAATGCGATGAGTTACGTGTGACTGCTTGTGGTGAAAATCGGCCTTATGCTGCACGTGACCATCCCGCTTATCATGTGTCATGGAAACAGGCCGACGGCCACCATTCAGTCACTCATTCCTACAAGTAGCCAGGATCCAGCATTAGCAATTGCAACATCTCGAAAAGGATGGCGTGATCCCTGTTATCGGTATGACTCCAGTGGTGCTAACTTGTACTATCAGACTATCACTGAGCGGACGGAATAATAGGCACGATCTTTGTGTGCCACCAGGAGCTGGCATAGCTGGCTTTAGGCAAAGGAAGCATAGAGTAAACAGGACTTCCAAGTCCTAAGCTTCGCGCTTTGCATGCGTGTCCTACTGCTTACTAGAGATTCCAGCAGAAGGAAACCCTCTCAAGCGGGGCGACGTCTACAGAAGGCTTGCAACCATCCTCTTTATCGCAATTTGCTTGTTGATACTTGACTGCGGTCAGTGCCGGAATCAACGTACTCAGTCGACCCTGATTCAAGCCCGGAGCTCCGAAACCTCAGAAGAAGAATCGATTTGTTCCTGGTGGCAGGAAGATAGCTGCGTTGCTTGAAGAAGCTCCAGCCTTCCAGGCATGCTGCCTGGACCTGCATTGCTGCGCACCTTCGTCTCTTCAGACGTGGCCACTTCGCAGATTGGCGGAGCCTGCAAGCGAATGCCTGCGAAAAGTGGCAGAGGACGCCCACCACGCAGGACGCGTGGGTCGTGGCAGATGCTGCCGGACACCCGGTTGAAAGCGCGGCCACGTCAAAGAAGAAACTGTCAGTGGCCAGCAGCCGTACCGGACGCTACACAGACATCTGCGAAGAAGTCCGGGCACGAAAGAAGTGTGACTTCGCCACTGAGGCAACAAATGCTCGGCACGTACAGATATGCCACAGTGTGAACCGTCTTCAGTAGTCTAGCACAGTATCTGCGACCAGTCCGGCTGCTTCCCCTCGCCCTGTGGGTCAGGCTGCCCGGTTTAGGAAATTCTATGCAATACAACCTGCACAAGACAGGACTGAGTTCCAAAGAGCTGGAAGGGATGCTGAAACAGCCTTACAGCTCCCGCGAGCCCCTTTCTTAGCCAATCGCCGGCACGAGCTGCTTGACAAGCTCTGCAAGGTCCCTATAAATGCAAGCCCCACTCGCAAACCTCTGCAGACTGCATACCCGCGACTTCGGCTTGTCTGCAGAAAGCATGGCTTGCCAAGGGCCAGCTGTGGCAAGCTCCGGCATTATCAGTTGATGCGCTGCCAAGGCAAAGCACATTGACACATGAGGCTTTGTAGGGAAGGAACAATGTAGGCAGGCATCGAACTTTAGGCAGGTGCGTACCAACCCTGAACCCAAAACCTCATCAGCCGGAACTTGCCCAAAGGACTCGGCCTCTCAAACAATTTTTCAGGTGGCCGGCGCCGGAGTTGTCTTCAGATACTAGCACTGTAGCCGTCAAAGGCAGCAAAACCAGTGAATCAAATGCCAAGTGTTCTCTTCTACGACTCTACGAGACTCCTTCCAACAAGAGAAACTCTTGTGCCACCACCTGCTTTGCATTCTCCTTTCACCTGTTCTGATGGTAACATCAGAGATGATTAAGCCAGAACCCAAGGCGACGGAAGGTAGGAAGCATTCGATCAGCAACTCTGCGGGTGCGTCCAGGGGATACCACTGCTGCCATCCAAACTGCACCCATCGATCTCACGTTGCCGAGTGGCTCCTCTACATGGAATGGCCGCACCGCTGGTGCTTGTACCCACTGGAAGAGTCAACAATCTGACTCGCATAAGTGCATCAGAGCCCAACAGTAGCGTAGTGCGTTCACCTATAGGTTCTCCACGGATGACTTTCTACTCTATTTAGCAACAGCGGTGGCAACACCTCAGGATTGTTTAACAATCCCTATATGCTGTATACAGCCTCAAACTGACGTCAAGCCTCGGCACGGGCATTGGCCTGAGTTGGACAGATACTCAACTACTCTGATGGACCGTCTGAGTACATACATAATTAATAAACGAAAGAAGACATAGCTACATAACATAAACAAACAACTATATATAACGAGATAAATACCTCTATACATATATATATATATATGCATAATCCTTTCCGCCACCGTCACAGCATCGCCAGCGAAGATCACCACCAAGTTATATGATGTCCAATTACTCGTGGTATAGATGAACCAACGTTGCCGCAGTGACAGGTCACAAGACAATGCCAGCTCCGCTTAGCATCCATTGGTTGCTCCACGACATCACCAAATGCACCCCTTGTGTTCCCTCTCAGCCAAACAGAAATCGAGTCCAAGGACGTTTAGAGCCAATCCCAGAAACAAAACATCGCTTAGGGCGAAGCTACCTGCTGAGCGCCGCACTGTGACAGGCACTCACTGTTGACCATCCACCAGTATCTGGAGGCACATGGCGAAGCGTTCTCGAGACCTGGCTGCTGAGGAGAGCATGGGGTTTGAGGACTCCTGGGCTTTCGGGCGCTTTTTTGGGTCTGATAGGAATTTGGGGTGCAAGTAATGTAGGGGCCTTCATAATTAGAATAGTGTTTTGGGGTATATTAATCATAATAAGGAACCCCCCCAAAATAGTATAGGTAATTATTTAGCCCCCTATATTACTTTACACCGTTGACTCTTTGTATATGTTTGTGTCCCGAAAACCCGGAGTGCCATGCAGGACCAAGGCTCTGGCGAGATATCTTCAAAGGAGAACGAGATGCACTCCCCCGACCTGTTAGCGAAAATGCGACAGCATGATAAGAAGATGCTTAAGGTATAGCTGAGGTGATGTGGGACAGGTTTCATCAATTTGCACACGCGCAATGAGGCCCTGACTCAAGCATCAAGGTTGCGCAGAGCTCGTCAAGTGGTGTCTCCTCACACGTGGGCTGGACAAAAAGCTGCGGAGCCTGTGCTCCTTTTCGAGGCCCTCCTTCTAGGATAATATAGGGGCCACAAAAAATTAGAATAGGGTTTTGGGGCCCATTACACTATAATTATAATAAGGAACCCCCCCAAATAGTATAGGTAATTATTAAGGCCCCTATATTACACAGAAGTCTTGCACTTTTCCGGGAACTCCCCAGCTCAGTAGGTTCGCCGTGCGCCTAACAAACAACCAGGCGGAAGACAGCAAGAAACCCACAGCTGGTTCTACCTGCCGACCACGACCACAACAACCACAACAACAAGAAGGAGAAGACGACCACCGCCACCACCGCCGCCACCACCACCACCACCAACAACAACAACAACAACAAGAACAACAACGGCGGCTACGACAACAACTTCGACTTCCACTGAGAACGATTGTACTACTGTGCCCCACTTCTCCGCCTACTTCTCCTCTTAGAGCCTCTTGTGTTGTACAGACAGACGCAATTAACTGGTCAACTACTACCAATACAACGACGACCACGCACACAAATGTCACTTCTGCTGCTGTTCCTGCCACAACTCCTACTGCTCCAGTGCCGCTCTCTTTCACGACTTTACGATTGAGCGTCAACATCCAGGATCTGCTCATCACTCTGGGCAGCAGGCAATGTCTTCAGGTTCGTTTCCCTGATAAACCTTGCGAGCTATGCAGGAGACCTGCTACTGCGACCTAACGCGAGACATGAACGAAGGCGGGATGACGATGTCGTGATAACAGTCTCAGCAGTCAAAGTAACGATACCAGTAACAGCTTGAAAGTACTGGTCCAGGTACCCATAGGCCCCACAGTAGTTCCTTTTTGGGATTACCTTTTAGGATTCTAAATATGAACCCCCAAAAAGGAACTACTATGGGGCCTATATGGGTGCTGATGAACATCCGTGCCGTAACGGCACGACTTGCGGCTGCACACCCCTGCCCCAAACCCTCCAGGTACCTATATAGGGCCCTAGGGGCTCTAGTACCCTATAAAGTAGGTACCTGGCGGGTTTGGGTGCCATCCCCGGCCTCTGTGAGCTCTGACAGGGCTATTCGCCGCACGGAGCCTTGTCGCATGAACCGTGCTTCCTACCGTTTGCAGAGTACGGAAATCTCAAAGGCATGCTAAGATATGCTAAGTCTATGTACAGCATTATGGCATTATCTGTCGTATCGACACCGCACCAGCAGGATCACCAGTCAACAGCCATCTATGATCCAGTTATGTTCCCGAGTCTTTGCGTATCTCTTCAAATCGTTATCCTGGATGCAGCATCATGGAAGTGAGACGAAGGGTTCAGCATGGCAGAACTTATCTTGTAGTTCCGTGGTGGGTGGAAAGACCCTACATCCGACCCCCCTCCCCCTTAAAGCAAACCCACAAACCCTGAAGGCTATAAACCCTGCAGAAAAAAAATCCTGGCCCTAAGCCTAAACCCACTGCTCTTTCTTGAGGCTCCCCTTTTCACCTTCGTAAGCTTGCAGACAGGGGCCTTTGAGCTCGATGACGAAATGCTTCAACCTGGCCGTAAACGGAGTTGTAAGAGTCCTTTTACCCAAACCGCCCAGGTACCTACTATATAGGGGACTAGAGCC